GCAGACTCCCCGCCGAGCAGGGAGCCCGATGCGGGACTCGATCCAGGGACTCCAGGATCATGACCTGAGCCGAAGGCAGTTGCTCAACCAACTGAGCCACCCAGGCGCCCAAGACCTTTTTTTTTAATTAAAAATTTTTTAATTTTTATTTTATGCATGCTCCACACCCAATGTGGGGCTTAAACTCATGACCCTGAGATCAAGAGTCCCATGTTCAACCGACTGAGCCAGCCAGGTACCTCTACGGAAGACTTTTCTTTTGAATGAAGAAAAAAAAAAAAAAGGACAGGAGTCCCTAGTAAAGTATATTTGTGGAGAGGAGGCTGGATCATTCAAACTCACAACTGTGAAGTTTACTCTCCTCTGTATATATTTTAGTCATAGATCTGAACTAGGAGTTGTACCAAGGCAAAACAAAACGTGCATAAATCCATGGTAATCCCTTGCCGTAACTGTGGCTGACAGAACATTCTAACTGTATACAAATTGGGAGAAGAAATAGATCTAACCTAGCCTTATGTTTCAACTAGTAAAACTAAGGGACAGCTATGAAGAATGGAACAGTCTGATCTTTGCCCATGGGTAGCTGAACACAGCCCCCAGGGCTAATGAATTTATGAAGAGCTCAGCCAGTGTTATTACGCTGAAATTCAGCATGCACAACTTTGGAGACTGGGAGAGGTGAACTTGATGGAAGTATCTGTAAAGATACTTTCTCACACAGAGACTCATTAAAAACCTCCACAACTGCTTTTAACAGAATAGAATAATCCTTATTTTGACATGTTACAGCACTTGTTCATCATCTATTAAGTCACAGTGCCAAGCCTAATGCAGTTATCTAAAATTCAAAAGAACTCATACCCTAACGCTGCACCCAGCACAGACCAATAAGGATTGAGATGATACATACACTCTTAAAACACAATTTGTTTTTTAAAAACTTGTTTCAAGTCTCACCTTCCAGCTTTGGGAAATTGGTTTAACTGGCCATGTTTATTACATTCTGACAAGGACTGTTGTTCTAAGTCCTACATTAACTACCTTCATAACAACTATGAGATCAGGTACACATAGTTCTTACACAAATAAGCAAACTGAGGGGCAGGAAGGCTAAGTAATTTGTCCAAGGTCACAAAGCAAGTAACTGCTGCAGACAAAGCAAGTAATTGCTGCAGGCAAAGCAAGAACAGGACGACACAAGCAGGGAAGAGCGAGAGGGTCCTGTGACAGCAACTAGAAATCTTGGGGGACCCCTAAATTGGGTTGCAGTCCCCTCCAACAAAATCAATTATGTTTCCATGCTTTTCTCAAACTGCAAAGTGGCATTATTTTAACTTAACAGTGCTTTCTAAAAACTACCCAAGTTAGGGACGCCTGGATGGCTCAGTTGATTAAGCATCTGCCTTCAGCTCAGGTCATGATCCCAGGGTCCTGGGATCGAGTCCCACATTGGGCTCCTTGCTTGGCAGAGAGCCTGCTTCTCCCTCTCCCTGCTCTGCCTGCCGCTCGCCCTGCTTGTGCTCTGACAAAAAACATAAAATAAAAAAATAAACTACCCAAGTTACTTGGGCATTTTTCTTTGTGAAAACTGTTCCCATTAAAAGACAGGTGAACAGTATGAAATGCAGGAGGAGGGATGACACAGCCGTCCATCTAAGTCATTTGTCCTTCCACAAAAGTTACACAGTTAATGTAGAACCACAAGCTGCCAGGAGACGGGGTCTGAATCCTGATTCCTCCAGCTGAGCTTTCAGAGATGTCCAGAGGAGATACTTCTATCACAGTGATGAAGCAGGGAGCATGTCTCTGTGTGAGGGACTCTTACAGCCTCAACTCAAAGTCCCCAGAGCCGTGACTGGAGAACTCTTCTGCTCGTACCCTTCTTTACACACGCACACCTATTCAGGTCTTTACAGATACTTCTGATATTTCATACGAAGCATTTTACGTCAATTAAAAGTACTTAAAATGCACTAAAAATATATTTTATTAACACCAGACACAGTAATCCCATCTTACCCATGAATTTAGTGACAGTCAACCTAGAATGGGAGCCCAGAACCTAATATTCCAACAGACCAAGATTCCAATCATATTTAATTACTTGCTACTGTCCGACAGTGGACCAGTTAATCTACCACATCATCAGTTTTCTTACCTGTTAAATGAGAATGGGAAATGATTACATGTCAATGGAATGTTATAAGGATTAAATGATAATTTCATATATGTGTGTATACAATGTAACTTTTACTATAAATACCAATAGGCTTCAATTTATTTCAAAAAATACAAGCATATATAACAAAACTAACACCTGTTCTTTCTGGCAGATGGATATGTGTTTATAGTTTTCTATTTTTCTTTAAATTTTTCAAAATAAAGAGAAATTAAAATATTGATCTTATCTACTTTGAATACAGAAGCACCTATGTAAAGGCATTCCTGTGTGCAGTTAACCTTTATCAGCAGGACCACATGCTTTCACAACAGAATTTCTGGAACAATCGTTCAAAATAGAAGGCAGATTGCAGACATAAGAATCTCAGGTCAGAGATGGATGAGACCTCCAACATCTAATCTAAACGTCTTGTTTTCCAAACTAGAAATCAACCTAAGTGGTTCTTTAGTTACATCCAGCTGGTTAATCCCAAGTGGTCTTTAAGTACCACATTTGAGAAATTATTTTCTTGTATTTTATTTTTAAGTCCAATTTTCTGACACAATTTTACAATGGAAATTCATGCTATTTGATTTTGTTCGTTCAGCTGTATAGTTTTGTTTTGTCAGAACCCTGGCATCCTTGCCATCTTCATAATCTAAGTACACTGACTTCCAAGAACAAAGAAATTTAAATTTTAGCATACATAAAAATGAGTTAAGTTGCTCAAGAGTCTTTACCATTTGGTGTGAAACCAAAAGGTATGAAAACTATAAACTCTTACCTTTTGTAGTATGTACAGTACATGGAAAATTAAGAATTTCTTCAATTTGAAGAAATGAATCAATGTTATAATAGAAACATTATTTTAAGATGTATCTTTGGAAAATGATTCAGACTTGTATATAAAGAATTACATACTTAAGTGTCTGAATGGTATACTAATGATTATTTAAAGATTATTCTTCAAAAATTTTCACAAAAATAGTTTTGGTTTTTTTTTTTAAAGATTTTATTTATTTATTTGAGAGAGAGAATGAGATAGAGACAGAGAGAGCATGAGATGGGGGAGCGTCAGAGGGAGAAGCAGACTTCCTGCTGAGCAGGGAGCCCGATGCGGGACTCGATCCCGGGACTCCAGGATCATGACCTGAGCTGAAGGCAGTCGCTTAACCAACTGAGCCACTCAGGCGCCCCACAAAAATAGTTCTAAACTAAGGGGATAATCACAATCAACTGGGCTAGCTATATGCCCACTATCAGCTAATTTCATTTACTAATAAAAATTTAAGTTACAAAAAGTGATGAACCGAGGGCACCATCTGAAATAATTTGATGTTTTGTGGGATTGCCCTCTGTTTCCAGACAAATCAGCCTTCTGATAGCCAAAAGACTGGGAAATTTAGTAATCAGCACAGCACCCAAAATAGTTTAAAACATTAACAGATGAAACTCCAAACTTAATAGCACTAATGATGTCAAACAACTATATGAAAGAAAGACAACACCAGGCTTAATACCTTAGAAAGTATATACAGAACTTGAACATTGTTTAAGATACAATTCAAGTCACAACTGAATTAGCAACATCATCAGATACTCTGATATAATGAAAAAGCCTAGTTTAAAAAAAAGAAAACAAAACAATGCATGTAAACCATAAAAGATTACAAAGTATTTTAGAATACACAACAGAATTCTAACTAGGAGGTTTAAATTTTGATTCTTAAAAGGTAAATATATATTTACAATCTTTAAGTTTCACAATTTGTTATTTTTACATGATCTTTATTCTCTGGATAATTTCATAAAACAATAAAAAGCTCTTTTAACACCACGATACACAGAAAAAAAAATCAATAGGGAGGTTGGTAGAATGCACTAGCCATAGTTAGCTAACATACAAAAGGCCAGGGACTTTATTCATGAACTCAAGTCACAAAACAGACTGAACAAAAACTGCAAGCCAGGAAACAGGCACTTTCCCTTCAGAGACTTCACTGCAGGGACCAAGTTTCCTTACCTGAGAAGGACTGGTTATAAATAACAGTTCTGAAGGCAGAGTTCTGGGAGGAATGGACGAGATCACCTATGGGAACCAATGAGCTCACTTACGTTTTAAGAAAAGACTGTGCAAGTTCACAGCACAGGTCACCGTGGGACGTTCCTTCAAGGTTTAAAAACCTCAACCTGTAGTCAGTCAGTCCTTAATACAATAGATGAATTTTAAAGCACAGAACCCTTAATTGGAGTGTTCAGCCCAGTTGATTATCAAAAGCTATTTATAAAATGCTTCAATACTGATGAATTAAAGCTACCAAAACTTTGTAATGATCACAAAGATTTGGCCTCCTGGGTTAAAATCCAAAGTCATTTTGCCTCTTGACAACATTGCAGAGATGTCAAATACTTCTTAATCTCTCAAACCGTGTGGCAGACCTTCTATGTTTTCTGTCTATCATAATCTCCGACCATCTTCTTGATGTGTGACAATTTGCTCTTCAACTGTTTGCAATAATTCCTCTTATTTTTGTAATCTGCAGACTAAAAAGGAAAAAAAAATAAACCAGGTAAATTTAACAAAATAAAAACAAGTTGTGTTAGCTGCTAGGAAAGCAGAGGTAAAAAAAAACGTAGAAAAGGGGCACCTGGGTGGCTCAGTCGGTTAAGTATCTGCCTTTGGCTCAGGTCATGATCCCAGGGTCCTGGGATCAAGCCCCACATTGGGCTCCCTGCTCGGCAGGGAGTCTGCTTCTCCCTCTGATCCTCCTCCCTCTCATGCTGTCTCTCATTCTTTCTCTCTCAAATATTTATCTTAATAAATAAAATCTTTAAAAAAAAATTGTTGGGGGTGATGATACAGGCATCTGGCAGTTTCTCTGATCATATAGGCAGCTGATTTTTTTTGCTCAATCATACCTTCTGACCTGAGTTTTACAAAGCATACACTAATTTCTAGTGGTTTGTAAAGTGACCCAAAACACTTACTGGCCTTTTGCTAACACATCATCTAAAAAATCAGTAAACAGGGGTGCTTGGCCAGCTCAGTTGGTAGAGCATGTGACTCTTGGACTGTGGGTTCAAGCAACACGCTGAGTGAAGAGACAACTTAAAAATAAAATCTTTTTTTTTTTTTAAGATTTATTTGAGAGAGAGAGAGAATGCACAAGCAGGGGGAGAGGCAGAGGGGGAAGCAGGTTCCCTGCTGACACAGGGCTCAATCCCAGGACCTAGAGATCATGACCTGAGCCAAAGGCAGACACTTAACCATCTTGACAGAGAGAGAGAGAGAGACAGAGAGAGAGAGAGAACAAGCAGGGTGAGCAACAAACAGAGGCAGAGGGAGAAGCTGGCTCCCTGTGAGCAAGGAGCCCAACGTGGGACTCAATCCCAGGACCCCGGGATCATGACCTGAGCTGAAGGGAGACACTTAACCAACTGAGCCACCCAGGCACCCCCTCAAAATAAAACCTTTAAAAAAAAATCAGTAAAACAAAAACTGGTGATATTGGTTGACTTGGGAAAGAAGAAATGGGTAAATGAGGAATTTTACTATATACTCTTTTTCTTTACTTTTTAAAATTTTTTTTAAATTTTTTAAGAAATCTCTACAACAAGGGGTGCCTGGGTGGCTCAGTTGGTTAAGCATCTGCCTTCGGCTCAGGTCATGATCCCGGAGTCCCAGGATCAAGCCCTGCATTGGGCTCCCTGCTCAGGAGGGAGTCGGCTTCTCCCTTTGACCCTCCCCCCTTTCATGCTCTCTCTCTCATTCTCTCTCTCAAATAAATAAATAAAATCTTTAAAAAAAAAACACATAATAGAAAACTTCTTCCTGAAAGAATCTTACAATCTGGGATACTTACTCCCTTAACTTGCTTCAGTCTATTGTACTCATCAGCAGCAGCCTATTAATGAGAAACACAATAGAATATGTTTAGTGGGACATTTTCTCTCTCAAAAATAACATTCTTGATGTTCTATTTTGGAGCTAAAACTTACAACACCACCAAAAATATAGGAAATTAAAATAATGAAGTTTTTAGGTTCGTACAACTATTACAGTCAGCAAAAGGGCCTGAAGGAAGCCAGTAAAGAGAAATCTAGGACTTATTCCTCACGTTCCATTCACACAGACAGGTAACTATCTGTTTTGCTGCCTCTCATCTGTCCCCATGCTGGTCCATGTGCCTTGCTGACACTAGAGATCTTCTGTGAAGCATAGCTCTCATCTGGTTACAGCCCATTATGAAACTGGTCTGAGCTCCCTAGTAACTAACTTAAATATATATGTATATGCATATGTATATTTATATGATAAATATATTTACATATACACACAG